TCTCACTCAGACTGGATGGTCTGTGTGCAGAGCCCCGGCCCCAGGTCCTGTGATCTATATGGTCACCAGTGTTCTGTGATTTGTGTGGTCCCGTCTGAGTCTCCAGGTCACTGCGGGTGGAGGCTGGGACGTGTGTCTGTGTTTTCTCTTTAAACAAAGGCTGATGTTGGAGCTGGAAACTCAGCTGAATTTCCCTGTGGCCCCACTCCATCCTCTGCGGTTCCTGATTTTATCACCATCCAAATTCTTTCTCATTAGTTGCTTCCCTGTAAATGCATTTCTGATGATTTTTTTCTTAATAAACTTGGGTGTGTTTGTGGTCTGGGAAAACCCTTTGTGGAACCCAGTGGTCACTCCGGTGAGAGGGTCAGGACTACGATCGCACAGCCCAAGCGTTTCTTGCTCGAGTGGGGAGAAAAGTGCAGTGACGCTCGTGCGACTGTTGGTAAGCGGAGGGTTTTGGTCGTTGCAGCACCTCGCACGACAGCAGCGCGCTGACGTCCACCAGCCAGCGGTACCTGCTGAAGTGGAGCGTCCCTCTTGGGCACGTGGAAGTCGTAGAATATGGTGGCAGCGACGGCGCCGGGGAGAGCAGCCGGTGTCCCCTGGTGCACGTGCCCGAGAGCCTGGCAGTGGTGGCCAGCACCAAGCCAAGTAAGCGACCCCTCCGTGCACGTGCTCGCAGGGCTGGGACCGGTGTAGCTCCGGCGTCGGGACCCCTTCCTCAGCCTCTGGCGGCACCGAGGGGGAGAGCTGTGGGGTGACGCGGTCCCTGGAGCCTGTTCACCGGGGTCTGGCTGTGGATGCAAGCACCCCTGTCGCCCTGTCGCTGTCTTCTGAGCCCATCCCCCGGGTGTCGTGTGCGTCCTGGGTTTACTGCGGGACCCGGCCCTGGGCTGCGTTTCCCGTCAGCGGCCGGGGCGTAGATATGTCTTTAAAATGCCTTCTAGATTGAACAGGTTTTTTAACAAAGTAGAGCTTGCTAGTTGTGTGCCTGCCGGACGATGGGCGCAGGGCAGGCTCTCCTGGGCTGCTGCTGGCTCTGGAGTGAGGCTCGGAGGCCGTCCAGCGCTCAGAGATGCCGGGAGGCGCAGCCGCTCCGCCCCTGGGGCTGCACCAGCTCCGTCCAGGTTTGTCCAGGAGAGAGGGACCGTCTTGCTGGGGCAGTGAGCCGTCTGTGTGGCCTGAGCCCGTCCTGGTGACCCCAGCGCCGCCCGAGCCCCGGGTGCCTCGGGTGGGTTTGTGCACATGAGACCTGGCCTGGCCGGAGTCCCGGGAGCCCCAGTTCGGCTGGGCGTCCCCGGCGTCCCAGGGCTTTTGTGGAACAGATTTGCCCCACCACCACCGTTGCCGTCGCTGCCTTGGCTTCCCGTGCTCCCCCTGCTTGTCGTCCCTAAATTATTTTGAGAAGCTAAGTTCAAGTCCCTCGTTCCTGGGCGATGGTCACGCGACTCTCCAGCCTGAGGGACTCTCCTCCGACACGCAGAGCTGGAGGGCCTGGCCTGTGTTCAGGGATGAAGGCGCATGGCAGCCGCGTGGGGCCTGCGTCCCGGGGAGCAGCAGGTGGGCTGCACTCTGCTTCGCCCCTCGGCGCCCTCGACCTGACCTGGGGTCGCGTTAGACCCTCCCTCCAGGGTGGGGCCTCGGAGTGGGTCCTCGGGTTAGTTTACGCTTCCCGGCCCCCTGGCCTCGTTTTGCAAAGTTCTGTGCGTTTTTCTGGGGGGGGGGTGATAGAGGTTTCACTGACTCCTCGAGTCGGGGCCGGCGTGGGGAGGGCGGACCCGGACCCTCCGTTGCTGATCTTGCTGACGTTTCTGTATCTAATCACGAAATCGAACACTAAGTACATACAGTTCATAACCGTTGATTCTGCCTCAATTTAAAAAAGTCTTTGATTTTTAAGATATCAGACTTCCCTGAGTTAAAACGGAAGTTGTGGAAAGGAGCGTTTAGCCCAGGGCCAGAGGTGCTGGGCGGGGAAGGCCTGCCCTTCTCGTCCTGCCCGGATTGTTCCTTGGCCGCAGCCCTGATCCCGCCCACCGCCCCGGGACTGCTCACTCTTGTCCAGCTGGATTCCGTCCGCGGCGTCCCCCCTTCCCCGCCCTCCTCCCTCCTGCCCAGAGACACCGGCTCTGAAATCTCCTGCCACCCAGGTCGCGGGTGTGACGGAGGGGCCTGGCCACGCAGGGCAGCACGTCGTGCCCGCCCGGGGTCCTGCATCCACGCCCCTGGGAGTCTCTGGGCTGAGTTGCTGTTGCCTTGGCCACAGCGATCCGCTTAGCTTTCAACCCTGGATTTTTAGGCCAGTTGCCGGGTTTCCGTGGAGACAGCGGGTGTGTGTGAGAAGCCTGCCGCCCCCGACCCGGGTGCTGGGCCTGGAGACCAGACGGCGGGGAAGCCAACTGACAGGAACCCTGATTTGTTTGTTGTTTCTGTAAGTTTAGCCAGAAAAAAAGATTCCACCCCCAGCCGAAGGCAGCCTCTGCGGAAGCAGTGCCTGCTCTGTGCTCCGCCCCGGTGAGTGGAGCGGGCCCTCTGGTGCTGGTGTGCGTCTGTGATCACCGCGCCGCGCCGTTCGCTGCTGTGTCCCCGCTGTGCCCTTCTGCCGAGCGTCCCTGGGGCTCCCCCAGTGTGGCCCTCGTCAGGTTTTCAGATGTGGGGTGAAGACTGAGAAACCCCCTTCAGCCCCATAAAGGAGGGTTCCCTGGTGCCCTGGGAACAGTCCTCCCTCTTGTGATGGGGCGATGGGGGCAGGGCTGCCGGACCCTCGTGTGGCAGCCGGGAGCGGCCCCACGCCGCAGTCCTGATGCCGCCGTGCGTTCCCCGCCATTCTCTCTGTCTCTGGAGCCTGCCTCGGGTCCCAGGCTGCCCAGCAGCCCGAGTCCTCTCTGCTCTGACCAGCGTGACTTCCCTCCATCACGCCGGGCCCTCGTCCTGCCCGGTTCCCACCCACCCTCCCCCTGCTGAGACAGGTTGGGCCGGCAGGTGCTGGTCCGGGTCGTCCCAGCTGCCTGGCTGGCGGGCAGCATCCGTCCTGGTGACCAGGCGCCCCTCTTGTCCTCGTGCCGAGGACCGTCCGCACCACCTCCCGCGGCCCCCACCAGCTGGAAGGCTCGAGAGGAGCCCCTCTTTTCTTTCTTCCCGGTTCTGCCGCCCCTGGGTGAGCTTCCTGCCTCTCCTCCTCCCGGCAGAGAGCAGGTGCCCATTCACTTTAGAGCCTCTTGGTCACAGAAGCAGAAGTCGGATTCTGAACTGGTTCCCAGTCTCTGAGCCGTTCTCCAGGTTGGGATGGTCTCAGAGGGCTTGCCAGTGACTCCACTGGTCAGGCGCGTGTTAACCTGACGAGCCTTTAAATTCACCGCGTGTCCACTTCACTCCTGGAAACGCTCCAGCAGCTTCAGAACTTTGTGTGCTGCCCTTTTGCTGATTCCCCCTGAAGCGTAGCTCATTCGGTGGAGACCAGAACGGCTGGAATCCATTAATGGGTAACTCTTCAGTGAAGGCGGGCAGGCTGCCGAGGGCCTGGCTGGTTTGGGTGATGCCGTGGGAGTGCGTGGCCTTCGTGGGACCCCCCGCATGGGGCAGCCACCTGTCGAGGGCCACATGTATCTGAGATTTAGGGAGCCCCCAGTGTCCCCCAGGTTTAACCGTCACCCACCTTGCCACTCCTCCGAGGAAGCACGTTCTTGCTGAACTCAGGAGGGTGGGTTGTAGGGGGGTGTCTTAATGGAAAAAAGATACAAATAGGACCTGCTGGCCGGGCTGCAGTGTTCCACGTGCAGGGGCAGGGCCCTGGGGGCGCGGCAGGTGTTGGAGTGAACAGACCCTCGTCTGAGTGTGGACCCTTAAGACAAGTTACACAAGTTTCTGTAACACACGTGGCATTTACCTTAGCTCACAGAGTTCTTTTCTGTGGCTCCGCTGGACACTGCTGTGAGGTGGCAGGACAGTGCCGGCCACACTGTCCCTGTTGACAGACTAGGCGACAGAGATGGGAGAGGTTTTGGGGTGTCCTTTCGGTGCTCCCAGGGGCTTCCTGGGTCCCGGAGGTGGATCCGGCCGGGGAGGTAGAGCATCGCCACTGGTCCTCCCCAGCGTGACTCCCGGCGTGGGCTTCTGTCTCCGAGGCTCTTGCTTAGGTGGAAAAGCGTCTTCTCTCCTAGGGCCTTAGGGTGGCTGGGTTGGCAGAGGAGGAAGGGTGTGCGTTCCACCATCAAGCACAGATGTCGGACTCTTGGTGCTCTCAGTTGAGGATCAGCTGCCAGTGTCCCTTCTGTCTGGTTCACGCGGAATCTCAGGGATGGACCGCGAGACGGGGTGCAGACCGTGCCGGGCTTTGCTTATGGTTCACAGCTGAAGGGGTGTAACTGTTTGGATCCAAGTTAGATACTTGTCCTCCAAAACCAAGGGATTTCTTCTAACAAAGGGCACATTAGTTAGTTAGACGTGCAAATATAAGTACACTGTTTATGTGTTAAAAATTGGTGTGGGCACCATGTGAGCACTTTTATACAGCACCCTGAAGACGGCAAAACTGGAACATGATGGCCAGCAGACAGGTGGTGTGGGGCGGGTGGGGCCGGGGTCTCTCCGGGCCTCTCGTGAGCCTCCCGTCCCCGCGGCCGTGATGGTTCCGTGGTTCTTTGAGGTTTTAACATCCCGGACCTGGGAAACGGTGCCTACGAGGGAGGCCTGTGCTACTGCGGCTTCTCTGCAAGTCCAACATTATTCCAAAATAAAAAGTCAGAGAAGGAAAAGCATCTCATTATCTGAAAACACCGACTCTTTAAAAATGCTGGACGAGCTAGACTGTGTTTCCGTGTTTCCTTCCTCGAGCGCCGGCGTGAACAGCTGTAGGTCTGTGCTGTTTTCTGTCGTCTTGTTTTGCAGACAGGGTTTACATGGGGCCAGGACAGCTGTATCAGGATCTACAGAACTTGCTGCATGACTTAAATGTCATTGGTCAGATCACTCAACTGATTGGAAACCTCAAAGGGAACTATCAGGTAATAGTCGAAGCCATCGGATTTAAAGTCCTCCTTTTATTTCTGAATCAGTGTCGGCATGAGAGCGCGTCTCCCAGTTCTGTTAGAAGCGAGAACTGACCTTAACGGTCAGAACTGATCCGATCGTCTGTTTTCTCCCGTTTTGGAGAAGGCGAAGCTCTTCCAGCGTAACTTCCCTTCGTTCTGGGGCAGACTCGCGTGTCAGTGCTCTCTGAGGGTGGTCCCAGCCAAACCACCGCGTGACCCCACTCCCAAAGGGGGGTCTTTGTCGCCGTCAGATGAGTGTTGCTGGTCCCCCTGAGGTTTTCACGTGACGGCCTCGGTTTTCTCCTCCCCAGGATGGATGACCGAAACGTCCATCGGCCCCTCTCAGTGTGCCTGTGCGTTTCCTTCGTAGAACTTGAACCAGTCAGTGGCCCACGACTGGACCTCGGGGTTACAGAGACTCGTCTTGAAGAAGGAAGAGGAGATCAGGGCGGCCGACTGCTGCCGGATTCAGCTGCAGCTCCCGGGGAAGCAGGACAAGTCAGTGGGGACCCGGGCAGGGCACCCTCTCCACCGGGGCCGAGGACGTGGCTCTCGCCTCGCGTGTCTCCGTGGTGGGGGCTCCGTCCCACGGGGAGACACGTAGCGTTCCCAGGGTGAAGGCTCCCCTCTCGGCAGGTCCGGCCGGCCCACCTTCTTCACCGCCGTGTTCAACACCTTCACCCCTGCCATCAAGGAGTCTTGGACCCACAACCTGCAGATGGCCAAGCTCGCGCTCGGTAAGAGCCCGCTGATTTCAGCTGGCTAGGCCAGTCCCTGCCCTGTGGTGAAGTGTGCACCCAGGAGGGCAGGGTCACGGCTGAGAAGTTGGCTTGGCGGACGGTTCAGCCGGTCACCTGAAAGGCTCTTTCCAGGCAGGAAAAGTTAAAAAAAACCCAGCATAAGTGATTTTTTTAAGACATTTATATTATAATTTAAGTGTTGTAGGAGAAAAAAAGCCTCATTTCCATTAGAAGGCCCTTTGAGTCTGTGGCCTGTGAGTCGGGGGTCCCAGCCCCAGGTCTGCCCCGCGGGGTGAGCAGGTGAGGGCTCCTCTCAGCCTTTTCCTTCCCTGCACCTGCGGGGGGTCAGACACAGGACTGGATGGCGTTGTCCCTAAAGACCCCCCCGCAAGCCCCCGGCAGGTTCTGTCAGAGACAAGAGTGACTCAGAGATGTTCTGGTCCCCGTCCCCGTGGCCTCACCCTCTGTGACCCGCGTACCAGACAGACGGGTGGGTGTGACGCACTGACCGCGCAGATGGGTGATATACGCACACAGGTCTGCTGTGCGAAGCACGGGGCTGTCCTGCGTCTGTGCGTAAACTCCTCATTCAGGTGCAAACACCCTGAAGTGTTAACTGGAAATAAGATGAAGAAGAGAAGTAGGCAGAGGGACGCCCACTGACACCCCGGCAAGGGAGGTCAGTGAGAGAAGGCCTTTGTCATGGGGTCGGCTGTCTGGAGTGGCCCGAGCCCCAGGGAGCGGGCAGAGCGCGGCCCCTTTCTCTCTGCCCGCGTCAGCTGGTGGTTTATCAGGCCGGCTTCCAGGCGGCCTCGTGAGCGAGGAGATGGCCCAGTCTCTGCCGAGTGAGTGGAACGTGGCAATGAGCTCATTTCGTCTTCAGATGCTCACGTTCAGAGCGAGACTGGCGACCACTTAGCAGACCTGCTGCTTCCTTTCTGTGTACGTCTTATCCCGTGGCCTCGTGCCACTTAAAGCCTCCTCCTCAGTTCCTAGCGCCTGAGTCTTAACAGGTCAGTTTCTTGGAAGGAGAGGTAAGGGAGAACAGGTGGTCTGTGCAGTGATGGTTCCCAGGCTGCCGGTGGGCTGGGCCCCGAGGTGGGAGCCGGGCACGCCCGTGCTCAGATGCGGCCAGAGCGTCGCTGGGTAAACCAGCCAGAGAGCGGCCCCTCCTGTGAGAAAGGGCCGTTTCCCGAAGTAAAAGGCGCAGTTCTCCAGTCTCGCCAGAGTAGGGAGCAGACTCCCCCACCGCTCCGGGCGCCCCTGGAAGGTGCCAACCCCTCTGTTCCCTCCCCACCCCCGACCCCGCGGCCGCAGAGGAGGAGAACCACCTGGGCTGGCTCTGCGCGGAGGATGACGGGAACCAGATTAAGAAGGAGAGACACCCCCTCCTCGTGGGACACATGCCGGTGACGGTGGCCAAGCAGCAGGAGTTCAAGGTGACGGCGGGCGGGCCCAGGGCTGCATGTCCCGCGTGGGCAGTTACCAGCAGGGAAGGGGCTCGGCGCGGCCCTGGGCGCCGCCTCTCCAGGCGGCTCAGGGAGGGCCTGGTGGTATGAGACCAAAGCCCACTTTCTGGAGCCACAGCTGGGCCCCCCCACCTGGCACTTGTGATCCAGGCCCACATGTCTCGGCCCCAGGGGCTCCCGGCCTCTCACTCGGGGATGCTCAGCCTCCCCGCGGGTCACCGCCGGCAGCCTCGTGGTCGCGTGAGGTGCAGTGCCTACTGTGCTGGAGCAGACCCCGTCTCGGGGGACGTTGCATCCCTGTTCCTCTGCTGTCGGTCCCAGCACTGCCGCTGGTGCCTGCAGGGGCTTCAGGACGTGGCTGTGTCTCCCTAAGAAGCACGACAGCCATGGCCATTTCTCACGTCTGGTCTCCGGCCGACACTCAGACCTGGAGCCCGCATGTCCCTGGGGCTCCCTCAGCTGAGGGGGACCCTCCCAGGGAGAGACGGGGCGCCCCCCGCGGAGTTGCGCGGCCCCCCCCCCCACTGGCCCCGGACGGGCTCCCTGCCGCTTGCTCCCAGCGGGCGCTGGGGTCTGAAGCCACCGCAGAGGGAGCGCTTACCTCGGTGCTCGTGTCCAAAAAGCTCGTTTCTGGGACTCCACACACTGAGCTTTCCCCTGCCTTTGGAGTTGCTGTGGTTCGTGTCAGAACCCTGTCCATTTAAGACAGGCCTGCTTGCCTCCTCCGAGTCCCGCTTTAAACTCGGGCCTCTGATTTTACCCCCTTATAGATCGAATGTGCGGTTTATAACCCCGAGCCGTACCTTAATGACGAGGCCCGGCCAGACTCCTGTTCCACGGCTCACGGCTTCCTGTGGGTAAGATGCCTTTGTCTGTTTGAACGCACATCTGCGAAGAATCCGTAGTAATGGGATGGGAAATTGCAGTTTGGAGCGGTTCAACAGGACGCTGTTAGGTGCCAGCGTGTCCACATTGTGCCCGCAAACTCAGAAGTCACGGAGCGGGAAGGGGAGCCCGTGCCTTCTGGAGCAGATGGAGAATGCCAAGGGGTTCAGAATGTCCGTCCCTTTTGTTTTCCGTCTAGAACGTTGCCAGATTAAATTCAGTCCAAAGACAGCTAGCTCAAGTGCCAGCATCACTGACGTGCTTTGTTGGTTTGGGCGGTGATGCTGCGTGGGCAGGGATCTGCGAGGAAGGCGTGGCTCGCAGGCGGAGCCAGCCCGGGGTCCGTCTGGCGCTGGAGCAGCCGCCCTCCCGCTGCGCGAGGTGCCGAGGGTGCACCCTGCCCTCGGCTCTCTTTCTGGGGACCTGTCTTCTCACGTGAGGCCTGTTACGCAATAAGTGTTACAGTGTAAACGTTGGCATCAGTCTGCTTTTTCAGACTTCGAACTGTGTGTGGATCAGCCTTGACCACCGTGTGGTGCTGGGTGCGCGACTTTTAAAAGGTGAAGATGTGCCTTTGAAAAAACAAAACCTGCATCTGTGTTATTAAAATTGAAAGGAAAAGGAGTTTAATTAGCGTGCTGCAGGGGGAACGAGGTCTGTTTGCAGACTGTTTAGACGTCACCTGGTTCTCGTGAGCGCAGTGGGTCCACATGGGCGCCGACTGTCTCCGAGGCCGTGGGTGGGGTCCTGGTGGCCCTGGAGCGCCCTCATTCACAGCCCCCCGTCCCCCCATTCAGATCGGAAGCTGTGCCGCTCAGATGGGCCAGATCGCCATTGTCTCCTTTCAAAGTCCCGGCCCCAAAGTCATCGAGTGCTTCAACGTCGAGTCCCGCATCCTGTGCATGGCGTACGTGCCCGCGGAGGAGAAGCCCCGGGGGCCCGGCGTCCGCCCGGAGCCCGAGGCTACGGCAGGGCACGCACTGGGCGTCCCCACCGTCTGCTTAGGGACGGAGGAGGGGAGGTGAGCCTGTTCGCTGTGTCACACGGGCCTCTGGGCTTCGTCAGCGGCAGGGCGGTGGGGCCCTGGTGGACAGTCCCCGTGGCCCTCTGCTGGGAGGGACCTGATGCAAGTGGACGTGGGCGGGTCTCGCACTTGGAAGCGGCCGGTGACTGAGGCTGTGGATGTCACCCTAGGAAACCCCAGGGAGAAACGGTGACTCTTCGCAGGGACTGTCTTAGGTGCACCTGCCGTTTGCACGGGCGTGCTTCGTTCTTACTCGTGCTTTCCCTGTGCAGCACTGATACTTTGGAGTAAAGCAGGGCTGTGTTCTGTGTCCTCGTTGACCTGAATGTCCGCAGGGTTTAAAGGAAAGTTAAAACGATTTTTCTGATGCGAAATTCCAGGATCTGTAGGAAGAACTAAGATTGATTGATTGATTGATTTTTGAATAACTGGGAACTTGTCTCTTGAAAGGAAGGAGAGATCACTGTGGGAGTGGCCGAGATTCCGGAAGGAGTTGGGGGGACGGGGAGGCAGTGCTGGGCGTGGCCGTGGGACAGACGGCCTGGCTCCCCCCACCGTGAGCGGCCCGTGTCAGCTCCCCTTCTCTCGCGCAGCATCTCCGTCTATAAGAGCAGCCAGGGCTCCAAGAAGGTGCAGCTCCAGCATTTCTTCACCCCCGAGAAGTGCGCGGTCCTGAGCTTGGCCTGCTCGCCGCGCAGCCTGTACGCCGGCCTGGTCAGCGGGGCCGTGGCCGTCTACGCCAGAGCAGAAGGTGACCGTCCCGCGGGCGTGGCTGTCCTGGGAAGGGGGTCGCTCTGGGCTGAGTGTCGCGTCCCGTCGGCGTCTATCACCCCTTGTCCCCGCCACGTGGAGGGTGTGAGATAGGTCGGCGCCTGCGGAGCACGCGGGAGGTTGCTCGGAGTCTGCCCCTGCCGACACCCGTGTTCCCGGAGCAGAGGCTTCAGTCTGGACCTTCATCCGCCCTCGCTCAGGGCCCCCGGGGTTTCCCTTCCTGGATGGAGCGAGGTGAGGCTGTCACCGGTCTGCACAGCCCTGCTCCACGGGACCCCCAGGCTAGCGCCGGGTCGGCACCTCCGCAGGGAACCCTGACGGTCAGCTTGGTACCCGCAACCCCGGTCTGGTCACCTGTGGCCACAGATTTGAGCGAATCCTACTTGGCCCTGAGGGGTGCATGATAAACAGGCTAAGACTGGGCTGGGCCGGCTGGGAGGGAGGTGGGGTGCTCTGGGCCCTGGGAGCAGCGCCTGCAGGCGCTGGGGGTCCAGGTCTCAGCAGGAGGGCGGAGCCCTGGGGGATGAGCGCCCCCCGCCCCCCATGGGGAGTCCGCAGGCTGGGGCAGCCGCAGTCCCGGGACACGAGCGGCTGGAGGGCCGAGGCTGTTCCTCCTGAAGGCGGGTTGCGGGGTGAGGGGCACCTCAGGGCCTGATGACTCTGCGGAGCGCACGTCGTTCCTCCCCTGCTGGACGTGACATGTTGGAGTGAAGGCCACGCTTGTTCAGACTTAGGCGGATTGATCGTGGGATTCTGTCTGCTGCTCTTCCCTGCGGCTCTGCCCGGCCCTGGTGGCACC